CATGAAGAAAAATGCAAAAAACCAAAAAAAACACAACACTTTTGGAATTCCTTTACCTCATATCTCCACAACAGGAGCACTTCAGAACATAATTCAACCAGATTCGGGAAGCTACAGTGCAGGGGTACAACTTTCGCTTTTTGACTATTTTTGGTAATTGGTCATGTGACCACCCTCCCAACAACCCATGTGATACATATCATCATTATTATATAGTTTTCGGTAATGAAAGTGCCAAAGGGCCTAATGAAATATCCTAATGAAAAATCTAAGAAATAGTAATGAAAGTGCCAGGGAGCCTAATGAGAAGTGATGAAATCATCAAGGTGCTCAATGAAATATCCTAAAAGAAATGGTAATGAAAGGGCCAGATGCCCCAATGAAATCTCCCAATGAAAAATCTAATGAAATGGTCAAGGAGTGTAATGAAATATCCTAATGAAAGCACCAAGAAGCATTCTAATGAAAATTCAATGAAATGGTAATGAAAGGGTCAAGGAGCTGAATGAAATATCCCAATGAAAATTCCAAGAAAACCTAATGAAAGTGCGCAGGAGCCTAATGAAATATCCTAATGAGAAATACTATAAAATCATAATGAAAAAGCGCAGGAGCCTAATGAAATATCCTAATGAAATTACTATGAAATCATAATGAAAAAGCGCAGGAGCCTAATGAAATATCCTAATGAAATTTCTATGAAATGGTAATGAAAAAGCAATGGAGCCTAATGAAATATCCTAATGAGATTTCTAAGAAATGATAATGAAAAAGCGCAGGAGCCTAATGAAATATCCTAATGAGATTTCTAAGAAATGGTAATGAAAAAGCGCAGGAGCCTAATGAAATATCCTAATGACAATTCTAAGAAATGATAATGAAAAAGCGCAGGAGCCTAATGAAATATCCTAATGACAATTCTAAGAAATGATAATGAAAAAGCGCAGGAGCCTAATGAAATATCCTAATGACAATTCTAAGAAATGATAATGAAAAAGCGCAGGAGCCTAATGAAATATCCTAATAAAAATTCTATGAAATGGTAATGAAAAAGCACAGGAGCCTAATGAAATATAATAATGAAAAGTCTCAGAAATGATAATGAAAGGGCCAAAGAACCTAATGAAATATCC